GTGAGTGAAACTGATTGGCTCTTGTCTGATTGGCTAATTCCGATTGATTTGTTGAATGATAATTGTTAAATTGATTGGCTGATTGACCCTGATTTGATTGATTGAATGAATGAGACTGATTGTCTCTGGTTTGATTGGCTAATTGTGATTGATTTGTTAAATGATAATTGTTTGATTGATTGTATGATGATGATGGATTGTTTTGATTGTTTGATTGTGATGTTTGATTATTATGTAAGAGAGAATTATGTTTTTCATGACAATATTTGCAACCATGTGCAAAACATTTATCATAAGTATGGTTTGATCTGAAACAATTAAAGCATAGTTGTAATTTTTTGATTTCAGCAATCCTTGATTTTATTGACAAACCCAGAAATTTGGCACAATAGAACAACAAATGATTTTCATTACAATATAAACATTTTATCTTGGTAACTTTATCATTCGCTTGGCCAGAATTAAAAAATGATTTTCGAAATGGTGGTTTATCCCTAGATTTGTCATAATGTAATTTTGGATCTGAGCGCATATCTTTTTCAGTTGATTGTTTAGAAACCAGTGTTTCCAAAAGTTGGCATTTCTCATCCAAAAATTTCAAAAATGTATCCATGGAAGGCATCGTTTTACAAGAAATATTTGAAGATTCCCAGTCTCGTCTGATAAGAAAATCCAACTTGGTTGATAACAAATAAATCAAAATAGTATCCCAACTATCCACCGGTTGATTGAATGTTGTTAAAATACGTAGATTTTTTTTGATTTCATCAATAAACTTACGTAAAGCAGTTGGATTATCTTTTGACACCACTGGTAAATCAAAAATAGCCCGAACATGATTGTGTATTATTAAATGATCATTTTTGAAACGTTCTTGTAAGAGATTCCATGCTATTTCATAATTCGCCGCAGTTATTTCTATAGAACTAATGACAGCTTCTGCATCCCCTGATAAACATGATTTTAAATAGTGGAACTTCTGAATTTTATTTAAATTGCTGTTGTCATTAATCAATGATTCAAATGTTTCTGAAAATGCTAGCCATCTCTCAGAACCACCACTAAATTTTGGTAATGTTATAACGGGCAATTTAACACCTTCAGACTGATTATTGTTTAAATTGATATTTGAAACAGGAGGGCTAGGATTCATTGTATTATTGTGTGCATTAGCACTGCCACCGCCAGTTGTATCAACTAAAATTTGGTTAGCGCGGGAGCAGGTCTCATGGTAGTCATCCTCAAACAACCCTATTTCAATTTGATATTCCTGGGATTTTTCATCATCTGAAATATCCGTTCTATCATCTAATGCTTCTAATTCAGTGATAACATTCTCAAATTCAGTCAAAAGTGGCAAGATTGAATGTAACCTACGCGGCAATTCATTGATTTTATGTTCATTTAGGTGGAGACTTGTTAAAAAAGATTTAAAACGAGTTAGGGATCCTTTCAAGGAGGCCTTCCTCAGCTTTAATGATTTTATAGCAGGTTCTGTCATGATTTAATAATAATAGGCAATGTTTAAAATTGATAATTATTGGTTGCAAATTGAAGCTTATTTAAAATAAACGTAAAATAAAAAGGGAAAGATGGTAAAAGGACTTATCTGAATGTACTCCAGTTATTTATCAGCTCCCAGGGTCCAGCCAGCAGCTCGAATATAATCGTCGCTTGTCGAATCCGTGTTGAAGGACCAAAATATGTTTAATGTTGTTATTATGATAGAATAATTGAGTGGACTGTATTGATGATGGTTTATTTTACAATAATTTTAATAAAAAAATAGAATTCAATAGAAATGATAATAAGAGCATGTTGTTGCTGTCGGTTGCTCGGAGGGAATCAACATGGTGCCGCCTTCTCTCGTTTTTCGTTGGTTGCCTTTTCTCTCTCTTCTGGTTATTGACAGCGCGCTGTTGCCAGATGTTTCATTTTTCAGGTGACACAGTGATGACGTCACAACAATGTCCATTTAAAACTTATAAATTCATATTTAAAAGTAACGAGAGGTTGGGAACAAAATGGCGGCGGGACCTCTATTGTCGCCACTGTATGTAAAGGTTTATTTAGCCACTTTATTGTGCTCCTGTATCCACGATTGCTGACATGTACTTATTATTTAATCTAATTGTGATGTGCAAGATTCCGTTGTTATTGTTCTTCTCCAGAGTAAGGATGGCAGGGGCTTTTAATTTTGCCATCTTTTCTCGTTTGGGTTTTGTCGTCGGGTTGTACAGGTGTTTGCATAGTGACCCTGTTTTCCACAAACAAAGCAACCAGGATTGTTTTTGTTGTCTCGTGGCGTATGCGATTTGTTCCTTTGAGGCTGGCTTCTGCATACTGTTGCAGAATGTCCTGTTTTCCCACAGTTGTAACAAACGGTGGCAATTTTTGAGTTGGAGTTATGATTTCTCATCTTTTGGCTCCTACATACAGCTGCGAAATGTCCTGTTTTCCCAGAATTATAACACGTTTGGCTAGATATTGGTACTCTTGTGCTTGTGTGTTCTCCTTGTATTCGGATCCTGCAGGTGGCCATCACATGTCCTTATCTTTAGTTCTGTGTCTGTGATTGTATTTCTTTCCGTACAGCTGGTAATTTGGGTTAGTTGCACCTTTCTTCGGAGCATTGTCTATCGTGTCTGCTATTTCTTTTAATTGTATAAGTGATGATGGTGGCATGTTCGGCGGGTTTGTTAACCAGTAGTAATTGTAATGATTTGCCTCCGTCAATCCTTCGCTAAAAATCGTTACAAATTCTTGTATATCAATAGTATATTGTGTATTTAGGTGGAAAAGTGACACATTCTCGGCCGACGGTGTAAATTGACGGGCGAGCCGTAGCCGAGGCCGGCAAACACCGAAGGCCGAGAATGTGCTCTTCCACCGAAATATACATACTATTTTTTCTGCGATCGGTTAAATACCTGTTAAATGTTTGTATTTTGGTTCTAATTATTTAGCAGTACGAGAATCACTTTCCCGGCCTAGGCCGGAAAAGTGTTTTCTGTATTGTTATTCATTGATTCCTTAGCAACTATTGAAACATAATTAAAATACCAGAATATGGAGTTTTGCAACCTGTCAACCGGTCAAAAATGCTGACATTTCTTGTCAATCGCAGAAAAATGTATTTGTGTAATTGTGGTATAATACTTGCAAATCGTACAAGTATTCCTTGACTGACTCATCTTGACCTTGTTTTCTGTTTTCGACTTTTTTCTTGAGTGCCCTTTGGTAATCTGTATCCTCAAATTCCTCTGAAAAATCTTTGATAATGTCTTTCCAGCTGTTGTTTTGGTGGTCGCGCTTATATTCCTGAAACTACAGGTTTGCGGCTCCGTCTAAATATGTTTCAAAATAAACAATTTTCAGTTTTTCGTCCCATCCATTTGCTATCGCTGATCTGTCATATGTTCTTAGGAACTCGATCGCGCTGGTTTTACACGGCTGGAAGGTTTGAGGGCTGATAAACTGAGGCAACTTTGCCTGTTTCTCCGCTGTCATAGCGTCAGTTATTGTGGTGTTCGCCATTATATCCGGTTGTTCTACTTCCTCTTTTGATGGTTACCTTGCTTTTGGTGCTTCTTGAAGGGTAAGGTCTGGTGGGCTACCAAAAACACTGTCTTCTTCGCAGCCTGATTATTTGCTTGGTTTTCTATCTCACTGGTAATCTGCTCTAAACTGATACTTGGCGACTTTGGTGGTGATCTTTGCAGTGATCTTCTCGGCAGAAAGAGCGCGTTTTCTGATTCTGTGCTCCTATAGGGTGTTCTTAATAATTCTACTGGTGTCGTTGCTGCTGCGTTCTTTGGCCTCAAATTGTATTTGGGTTTGTCTGGCATCTATTCTTGCCACGATGGCGACAGTAAACCAGTCACAATTTATTCTTCTATTGGCACTAGTTTTCAAATCTCCGAGTCTTTTCTTCACCTTCGCCACGCTGTCGTGAATTTCTCTTGAGTGCTTTCGTCACGGTACCGTTTGTCGACGTACCTCGTCGTGACGTGTTTGGGCGTTGGCTTGCTTCAAAGGCGCCTTACGGTGTCCGTTTTTGGGCGTCGGTTTCGAGATGGCACTTCCACCAAATATGTCACCACAACTGCCCGCTTTACGGGGGTGACATGGGGGGTTTGTTGTATAAAGGTGTAGATATATATTCTCCCAAATATGCCCTTACATATACGCTAGTCCTATCGGAGGCATGCAACGTTTGCATTCCACCATCGGGCTCCATTCGAGCAGCTTTTCGAATCTATGGGGCAGCTAGAGTCAAATGCCTCAATTACTTCCTGGTTGACGCGCTGTACTTTCTCTTCCAGTTCTAGGTGATGACCTACTCTTCGCAGGTTGATTGCTATGACAGCTTCTTCCAGATTCTTCTTGAGTCTTGCTTTGGAGGTGCTTATTACTTCTGATTTGCACTCCATAATTCTGTGACCAGACAGGGAAGTTTTCAGCCGAGACCCTCCAGTTTTTCACGTAAGTAGTTTGTTTATTTCAGAACTACCAAATGTCTAGTACTTTCCTCATCCTTTGCCCTTTATTGTAGATGTCAAACTTCTTTTCAAATACCTAAGAATTCAAAAAGTTACTTACCCCTGGTGTTGGTGTTTGAGCTTCACTCTAACAAAATGCATTGGTATTCTTTAATGCTTCTATAATCTATTGGTTCCATCTCATAGTTCTCATCATATTTTACATCTGCGATGCACTTAACAAATAATAACCAAATAAATACTTCTAATGGAGCCTATACCTAGAAGTTTATTCAATCTAGGTGAGTTCTTGATGAAACAATGTGGTTTCTGGTTTTTATACAAACTAACACATCTCTTCTAAGAACTGTTGTGTGCCAATTGGATTCTCAATGAGTACAGTTATCTGTAGTATAGCGAGTGGTACAGTTCTCTGTAGTACAGTTATATTACGTGGCGACATCTCTAGATTTATACCAGAAACTTATAGTTTCCGGTCCTCTCACGAGATGTCGCCGTTGAAAAAATTAAAAACAGAATCAACTGAAGGCTGAAACGAATATTGTGAAAACAATCATCCACCAAGTGAAAATGAAATCCGAGCCGAACCGAACCCGAACGCACTAGAATTTCATTGCACGATTTTCGATTTTCCTTCATTCTCTTATCAACTGGTCGAACGTCAACTTTTGTCTGGGATTTTGTGCTCAATTTTTAAAGAAAATCGTGCTAGAAATGGATTGATACAGAGCAAAGGAGCGAAAAAGGACAACAGTTTTTTGTAATTTCCTGGGACAGTGTGACCTAGAGAGTGCTATTAAAATAGTTGGTGTTTTTATCGAACTACCTACGCCCTTTGTGTTGTGATTCATCCATTCTGCTTCAGAGTTCCTTGATTTGATTATTCAAGTATCCCTGACCCCACAGATCAACAACTTTTCAGGTAAGATTTCTGCTTTTTTTTTTTGTTTATGGTTTTACGTTTTGTATGATTATTTCGCAAGGATATTTGTTGAAATTCTTTGTGACCTGATTTGGAAGCGGTTTTTATGCCAGATGTTTTAGTTATTTATTTATTTTCTTGTTTCTATTACAAGAAGAGATTTCTAATGATTTTCTATTATTCAAATGTAAATAAAACTTCTTTTAAATGGCCCTCTGAAGGGCCACAAGTTTCCAGCTGATAAGTGCTGATAATTTCAAATTTGAAATAACTAGGTCCTACTAGATTGGAGCCTTCACCAACAATCAATTTTACTACAATTATCAATTATTGTCTTTTTCTCTCTTAAAAAAAAAAATGAGATAGAGCCAAAGAAGGAAACAAATTGCTCTGGTCATTGCCAAAGCCCAAAGTTGAAAGTTTACCTACCAAAGTACCTAATTGGTAGGTAGGTATCATAAAAGATAAAAGAGTACTTTGTCTGGTATTTTTACTGCACTGCAGGTAGGGTCGGGACCCAATGTTTACAACTTGCAATTCAAATTTAAATGAGACTGGGATTTAAAGGCTCTTTTCAATTACTATCGTAGTTCTGTGATTCAACACTTGAATCAGGAATACAAAAAGTTCCTAACTAACCCTTCTTTTGATTTCAATTTTCAAGCCTAGAAATCCATGTCCTACCTATAATTGTCCTAATGAATTTACCTTTAAATTTGGGTCCCAATACCTGAGTCAGTAGGTACCTTTCTTTAAAACTAATAAATATTAAATAGATAGGTATAATAGATAAAATATAGGATCCCTAATGAAATTCCCATTATCTGAATTTAGACTTTAATGGTGATTGCTTTTGCTAAACAAATTTGATTTGTACAATTAGGCAATTCTAAGCAAGGACCTGTCAAAAATGGCGCCTGGTAGGCAAACAATAAACAAAAAACATATGTTTTCTTTTGGCGGGATTATCAATACACATAAATTGAAAGTGAAAACTGTTATGGCTGTTTGCACCGACTATTTTTAGGGAAGTTTAACAATAATCAACATTATAGTGACATTTTTACATGTAAAAACGTACTCTTGGAGCTATTTTCTTAACTCAGCCCTTGCTGACATAAGGAATACTGACACCATAGAGTTTCTGACATCGTTGACATGTTAAAACCCGTATTCTAACCTCATAAAAATTTCAAATTTCAAAATGCCTGCTGGTTGGCTATAGTCAAGGTTTATTTGAGAAAGGCAGGTTGCCTGATAACTTTATCACGTCATCTGGGGTGCCTCATCATAATGCAAATCTCCATGAGGCACCCCAGATGCGTCATCAAATTACCCATTACCAGGCAACCTACAGTCTGTTTTTTTTTTAAAGATAATTCCCCAAGTCAAAAATTTAGTAACTATGTTGGCAACACAAGCCTTTTCTACATAAAAAATTTGAAAGCACTGACAATTTCACATTGTATTGCCAACACAATGTCATTTTGACTTTTATCTTTAAAAAAAAACACATTTTATTAACTTTAGGAACCTTGGGCTATAAGTCATCTGGTTTTGACTCCCTAATTGGTTTCGTGCACCATGAGACGTCACAAATAGGGCAATCCAAACAAAATGGCGGCCAAGGCCAAAAAATTGGCGCCATGAATTTAATTCAAACAACTGCGACATTTTTGATCGAAAAACTGTTTTTTGTGTATTTTGTGGTGTTTTTAGATGATTTTCTAGTACTTGGAAGGATAATTTTCCTATTTTAAGATGGAGAGTTTTTAGGTTAATAAATTATTAGTTGAAAACCCGGATGTTTGCAAAAGTTATGATTTCTTTGAGACAAACCTTTATTTACTAAACAATTAGGTAGGTACTATCCAGGATTTGTTTTCTGTTTAGTTTTTTCTTAACAAAATCCTGAATCCTGATGTATATTTTATATTTTATTTGTCTGCAATTCAAGGTATCGAAACAAGTTGATGTTGAGGATAGTAAATGGCTTGGATCTATACACCGTTTATGTAGCGAGACTTTTTGGTATTTTAATATGGATTTCGTCAAATTTTTCCTCTTTTGCTACAATCCATGAAGCCCTTACAAAGTACAGACAAATCGTTTTTCTCCGGTAAAAACCTGTATTTTGTCTCTACAGGAACGGCATAAAACGAGACTTTCTCGCGATTAGAACGGCTTCCACAACTAAGTACAATACATAATGTATGCATTTTCCAAAAAATAAACACTTTACAGACTTTATACAAATCAAAAACCGCAAAAAAAATGGCATTTTTTTTAATATAAAAAGGCATTGACTTCCATTTTGAATTACGTTTTGACAGGTCGTTGGATTGCCCTATACTGCCCCCGGATTCTATTTTACGAGTCGAATCGAATTGTCTCGATATCGAATATGACAGCTCCGGACGTACCGTGTAATACATATGGAAAAATCAAAAAATAGAATCGCTATTTTGACAATTCGATACGAATTTCGACTCGACTCGTAAAATAGAATCCGGCCCCAGGTTTTTACATGTCAACGATGTTAGAAAAGTGTCAGATTTCCTTATGTCAGTAAGGGCTCAGTTCAGAAAATAGCTCCAAAACTACATTTTCAACAGTTTTCAATTTCAATTTATAGGTTTTGCAAGGATTGAGGATAATCAATCATATTCTTTATGCTGGATTATATGATGTGTCATTTGTGCCATACTCCCCTAACTCCTCCACCATCAAACTCTGGGATACTCGAGAATCAAGAACACTTATGGCGTTTCCGATTGGTAGATCTAGTGAAGAACTAGTAAAATTTTTTCTATTTCTGTCTGTTTCTTCTACAGGTCGATTAATAGGATGCAAATACACTCAGTGCGCACGGAATCTACCAATCGGAAACTCCATTAATTTTTTCTGTGAGAACAGACGGAAAATCACCTTTTCTAAAATATTAACTCACTAGCGCAGCCTGAATTGCAAGCATTCCATCGAGGTCTGCGGGTGACGTCATCACTATAGGCTGCTGATAGTGACGTCACTCGCAGGCCTAGAATTTGATGGTGAGGAAGTTAGGGGAGTATGACACAATTGAGTCAATTGTGTCATACTCCCCTAACTTCCTTCCAATTGAATTGACACATCACATCACATAACCCAGCATAATCAGATTATGCTTGATTATTCAATCAATCACAATCATTTATTTATGTCAACATCACAAAGCGATTTACACACGTCAAATCAAAATATCAAAATATAAATCTAATACATAGGTACTTAAATACATTATAACAAGTTACAAGATACATTTCAAATACTATAACTATGACAAAACATTATTAATATCAAAATTTAAAAACTCTGCAAACAGTGATGTTAGTGGGTCATGACCAGCGCGCATGACGGTGGGTCATGACGGTCATGACCGTCACGTTACATTCAATGTGACCATTGGTCATGACCATTTTAAAGCATAGTGTGAAAATATGCAGTAAAGTAGACTGCATAGTATGCGGTGAAGTACATTCGGTGTTCAGGTACACTCAAAAATCCTTTCTCATTCAGAAATTTCAATAATACATTCTTTGGTAGATATATAGATGCTCATATGTATACTTTTGTACCTAACACATGCGTAAAATGCCTTTACCGCACTTAGACTGCTGTTGCCTGCGGTAAAGTATCACTTCTGAATTTTAATTAGGCAACGGCCCAATTAAGGACCGATTGACTTCTGCATTTGTTAGGTGAATAACTGTTATTTTTGATATTTTATTTTACCTGCTAGGCTAGGATAGCTTTTATCCACTTATTTTGTAATTTGTTGAAATTTCTTCTGTTCTGAAATCCTTAATAATTTATCAAAATGTTATAATCAATATTCGACTATCCTTATTTTAAACCCATTTGTGAATTAATAGACGATGACTGTAGGTAGTGGCGTTTAAAATTGAAATAATTACTATGAACTATGACCATGGTCATGACCGTCATGACACGTCATAACGCAAATGACCGTCACGATTTTAAATGACCGTCATTTTACATCACTGTCTGCAAATGAATAGAAACAATGACATATTAAAATTTGCTTCATTTTACTTTTAAAGTCCTTCATATCCAAATCCTTAACACTATTTGGTAAACAATTGAAAAATTTTATAGCCCAGTATCCTGGCCCACTCTGACACTTTCCCAAACGCCAATAGACAGTCGCAATATCATCCCTATTGATTATCCTTGCGAAAAATTGCCTTATATGGAGTTGGAGTGTTGTACTTGTACAGCAAAATATGAAAAGTTTGTGGAGCACAACATGAAATTGCCATATTAAGGTCGGATCTCATAGAAATCACAGATCAGTCAGAGCGTTTTTATTGGTGCAAATCGCCAAGAACCAGTCTTTTGACTGTTTTTAACCAATGAAATTCGCTCTGATACGTTTGTGATTTCTATGAGAACATACCTTAACAACATACACAAATTTTACCCCTCGTTTCACCCTCAGTTTTACCCCCAATGTCAAAAAGTATGTCATCGCCCTTTTTGTTTTCAAGAGCTGTTGTCTCGAGTTCATTGTTTTGAAAATGATTCAAACCAGGTTTGGAACAGTATATTCTCGCGATGAACCCGTGGCGTCACATTAAAATTGGTTCAAACCATTTCGAAATACAATCCAATTCACGTTTTCAAACCGTTTTCTCGCGCCAAGCAGTTACGACGTCATGTGACACTGTTTCAAACCAGTTTTGAATAATGTTTTAAAACATTTGAGACGCGAGAAAACACCTCAGGTAAAAGGTGTTCTTGAAAATGTTGTATTTTGAGACTGAGACTTACTTTTTATGTATCTCAGCTCTCTCATAAGCAATGAATTGTGATCGGAAGGTGGCGACGGGTTCATAGATCCTTCTATACCGATTCCAGTGGCGTAGTCAGCTTTTTTTTTGGAAGTAATAGTTTTTAAATTATAAATCAGACATGCATTTTTTCAAATGAGACACCCTGTA